CTGAAAACGTTTGGCTCTGGTCACTCGAGCAAATCTGCATTGCTGGAAAATATCCTCTTAGGATTTTTAGAGCAATATGATAATAATGATGCAGCCCTCTGGCAATTATATGGTTTGCAGATCACAGTGGCTGGAGTCGCATAATCCAATGAACCATGTTACGGCTTAACGTATCATCATGTGTTGAAAATGGTGCTGTTAAATATTAGGGGATTTTTGCGTACAAACTGAGTGCCATCAGCACGCCACATGTAACAATTGAAAATAATCATTTCTGTAGATACGGCAACACCCAGAGATCGCAGACTCAGGGAAAAAGAACTGGAAGGAATGATAAAATATTGGGATCCAATGATCAATATGGACAAATTATAGAAGTGATCTTGCAAAATTCATCCCTATAGTTGTTGGAGTATTAGGCAGAATAACAACAATTTAGACAAATTTTTACAAGAATGAAAGATTATGGCTCTATTAACTGTGGATTTACAAAAAAACTCAGCTTGCTGGGCACATGTTATCTCTTAAGATGTTACTGGGATTATTCCTAACTTGCTGGATGGACCTTGAATTTCCAAAGAACACCAGTCAAAAGAATTGGTTTGTTCATTCTTTGTACTACATTATTCTCTGAGTAATAATAATAATAATAATGATGATGCTTTCTGGTAATAATATAACTTCCTAATCACAATGGCAGGTTCACCCAACAAGCCATGTTATGGCTTAATGCCATGTGTGAATCAGATCTTCTGTTTCCTTTGTCTAGGGATGATCAAAACTGTAAGTCACCCTATCAGGAGGGCAGCAGACTGGAAAAATGTAATGTTGGGTGAAAGCAGAAGTCCCATGGAGTGCTTCATAGGAACTTGAGCTGTATTCCATCACCACCCACTACCCTGTTGAGTTAAAAAGCCTGTTCGTTTAATTTCAGCAGCAAAATTAGGATTGTAGGCTAAGCCTCTGTAGTCCTGCTCCATGGAATGAGCAGGCTAGCCTCTCAGTTCAGTTAAATTGACGCGCTACCTTTTGTAGCAGATAAGAGGGAAGCTCTTAAGATGATTAAGACCAAAGTCTACATTTCTCTAACTGCCTCGCAATCAATACCCGCTTTTCCTTTAGGGAAACGTATTTGCTTAAGTCATGATATCGTTCTTTGTTAGAGTCCATCTTTTGGGGTCCTTGAATTCCTGAAAGTCTTATCATTCAGACCACGTGGGTGTTCTTTTTAGTCTAGGTCCAGAGTACCCGTATGGATATTTTGTAGATTGAGTTGGTGACTCATCTTTCAGGAAGGAAGGAAGAGAGCAGGCCAGGAGTTCTTAACAAGTAGACCTAAACTGAGATTCCTAATCAGTCACTTGGTTAGATGAGTAGAAATGCACATGAAGACTTGGCCAGGAATTTGTAGATAGTACCCAGAACTTTCAGATCAGGATTTATGTCTCCCAGATGTCAGTGTGGGCAGGGCGAAGGGAAAAACTCAGCATAAAATGCTTTGAAAAGCTGATCATTTAAATATTTGGTTGTTCCTCAAAACTGGGATGTCCATGGGTCAGTCTAACATCCAGTAGCTAGATGCACACAGTATGCTAACCTTGGTAAATATTTTCCTTGGTAAATTTGGTCAAGGCTTAGCTAACCCACCTTTGTCTTTTTTTTTTTTACTCTTCAGTAGATTGTATGCAATGTTTATTATGATGATCTGGATACCACTATGGTACAGACATAATCAAAAGCTGTGGCATAAGATAAAACAGCTTAGCAGATAAAAAACTCAATAGCTATTACATCAAACATTTAAAATCTCAGTGTATTAGTTTTGTTCTTATAGCCATAGTTAAACATTTGGCTGTCACCGCTATAGCTTTAAGATTTTTTTCTGTGAGTAGAATTTTAGCATACTCAGAAGTCTGTCTTCCTGACCTTGATTTTAAAATAGGCCAGATGATTGATTGATTGATTGATTGATTACATGCCATCCAGTTGGTATCTACCCTTAAACCACATAGATAGATTTTTTCCAGAAGGATCTGTCCACCTGGTCCTTCAGCTCTTCCAAAGGTGTACCCATTGCGACTATATAATTCAGTCCACCCACCTTGCTGCTGGTTGCCTCATCCTCTGTTTCCTTCCAAGGCCAGATTATATCCTGCTGAAAACTCTTCTAAAAATTACAGTGCACTAAAATATGTATGAACCACAGTTTCCAGATCGGTACCACTACAGGGCAACATCTTTGAGAGATGGGAATCTTTTGAAGTCTACCCTATAACATATTTGATTGCAGTCTCACAGTAGAAAAAGCTATTCTGTATTGACTTAAAGATAAACTGCTAAAATATATCAGGAGCTGAAACGTGTCATAGTTTATTCCAAAGTTCAGGGAAAGAAAAGCATAGAACTTTGCTTTTTGTCATTAATTCCTGTACTAAGTTATTCCGTAATCTTTGTTATTGGTATTGATCCCAATTGTTTGACTTCTGCTGGGGTGCTGTCCATGTTTTACTGTACTAAACCCCAACGTCACACCCCTAGAAGACAAACAATCAGGAACAATACCAGTCTGATCAATCTTTTGGGTGCCCTGTTTAAACCATGTATCTACATCAGAATAATTTGGAGTTTTGCCTGATCCTTCCTTGATTCTGAAAACCTGTATTTGGAACCAAAATTGCATTGTTCTTAGCCAAGCTTCTGTTTTCAGAAGGCATCAATGCAATTGATTGTGCAAACCTGGAAATGTATGAATTAAACCATCAGGGTAAGGGCGTTATGAAGAAAACTGGTTTGTGAAGATGTAATCCAGTTGTCAAGCCGATCAACCTGCATTCCTCCCAGGAATCTGCAGGCCTAGGGTTAAGGTCTTTGCAACCTCATACTTGGAAATCAGCCTTGTGAAGAGTAAATAATTGTGTATGTAACCATGGAAGGTGTGCATTGGGTTTGTCAACTGCTGTACCAGCTCAGATTGTTTCTAGAAGGTTGGAAGACCTTGGGAGCAAACTAATCCTACTCCGATGAAACTTCTTGACACTTCATTAATGGTTCAGAATTTGCAGGGACAAGGCACTCTGTAGTAGCAAATCATTACATGTTTCTTCCTGAGCTCTTGATAGAAGTAAACTGCAGGATCAGAAAGGAGAAGGATCAGAGATATGGTCTTGGGCCTTGACAGTTCTGGATTCAAATGACCATTAATGAGTTAATCAGAGTAGTGTGAAGTTGGGCTAGGAGAGAGTAGAACCACATTCTAGTTTCCCCTCAGCCATGAAAGCTCCCTGGGTGTAATGGTATGTGGGAATGACCTTGGGTGACAGGAGGAAAACCCGCAGACTGGACAACCAGCATATAAAAAATTTCTCAGCCCACAAAAGGAGAGGAGGCATGGGGAATGTTTCTGTCAGGCCCAGCCCAAGAATGACAACAAGGCAGTCCAGTCCAATATAGTTCCTTTATTAGCTTGCACCTAATGGACAGAGTCTCACCAGACTAAACTTATGCTAAAGCAACTAGTGGATATACCCCGTGAGACTCTAGGGAGGGGCCAGTCTCAGCTTCTTCACCTTCTCACGGTCCTGCTGCGGGCTGAGGAA